CAATTGTTAATTTCCTTTCGATTTTTATCAACACAAATAAATGTGTTTTTGTTGCAATTAACAGTACCATCTCTACCATTTTTTGGCCCAATATCGTGCAAAATATTTGAGTTGGAAACAAAAAATAATCCGACCTCCATATACAAACCACCTGTCTGTACAGACTATTTTTATAATGAATTCCCTTGGGTGATTGCTATATTTAATTCTACCAACATTCTATACAATAGTAATTTAATATGATGTACCATCTTTGAATGCATTAGTAGTAAAAGCCAATGAGAAATTGTTGCAGAATATTTTCTAATGTAAAGTCTGTGTAGAAGAAAATGAAACGAGTAAACATTTCCAGTAAAAAACATTGTTTACATTCAATGATGGGATCCTATTTTCATCATATGCTATGTAAACAAAGAAAAGTGTTCAAATGTGACGTCAATAACCTGGAACGCATTCAATGTTAGTGATGTAGTTTACCACATTTAAGGAAAAATATTGGAGCGATTGCAGATACATTTCGGAACGAATGCAGATGCAGCTTTTTACGAAACTGTAACTTCAATTATTTTCAGTACTTTCATACTAATAGTTCTTTTGTATTGCCTGCCATAGATGATATAATGACTTGTCTGCCATTCATTATTTTAAATTAGAACTGACATCATTGGGTTCCTGTGGGAGGAGTTGCTAGCTTGTACTAATGGATCATTTAATTGTGTTATGCTTATTAAATTGCATTCCCGCTTTGCAAAAATGTAAAACGTCCCTCCAGAAAAGGTTAAAAACTTAAAATGTGTTAAAATGATGCTATTTTAGCTAACAAATGTGATATATATATATTCCCATGATATTTCCTCTTTTGTTGACGTCAGCAGATGTGAATCTGGGCCACAGGCGATTGATGCTACTCTGGTGGTAACCATGATGTCAACCTGAAAGAAAAAAATTGTGTGATTACGTATTTATCACATGCATATTTCCACAGTCTGAAAAAGTGAAACGACGGAGTGATAAACTATTGATGAAATAAACTTTAATATAAATACATCATTGTGATCATCTCATATGCTATAAATTTTGTGATGCTGTGGTGTTATATTTCATGTGTATGCCTTGTGTATGCTGTGTAACAGTCCTGCTTGTTCATAATTTTTGCTCATATTTTTTTAGTTTTATCCTATTTATGTATTGGAGGGACTGAATAATTCTGAAAATACACCTGAGCTTGCCAACACTGACATTTTTTCCAACAATCCATAATTATCTGACTATATACATTGTTACAGACAACATTTATTTTCTAACTGATAAAGCTTTTATGATTTTTTGTATTCACTGTCATAAACTCTGCCTCCCTCAGGTGGTTTATTGATGGTCAAAATGATAGTGGCTAGAGTATTATTATTAGCCTTGGTGATTTACTGCACACATACATAGACGGCACAGAATTCTGTGTCTTCAATGAGCAGACTGATCTGTACGGCCCACTCACTGCCTTCCAGACTGATTCACCAATTTTATTACTCATAGATTTTTCTAGATAATAAACAGCGTCTAGTCCATATTATTGCTTCTTCTCTGTCATTAATGAACCAGTTTGAGTAGGCATATATACTGTGTAGTACTGTAAAATATTTTATTTTTGCTATTTTCACTGAAGGAATGAGAAATTAAAGTTAGCGAAAATACCTTTTTTCCTATATTTTACATTCAACTCATCACAAATCAGCGAAAATTCCAGCTAACATAGTCTAGAGTAACATTATGTTTGTGAATTAGTATGGTGCCTCTGTAAATCCCCTGTCAGATAAAAGAGTCTGATTACAAAGTGATTACTGGTTTACCTGGTGTTATCTGTATTTTGAGCTATAATCTCAGTGTCAATAGTGATTGAAGTTGTAGAAATTATCTTGATAATATATTGAACAGAGTCAAGTACATGTAATAGTCTATCCAAGTGTGTGTGTACACATGCTATCAAATAATTGTTGATTATATTATAGTGTTGTAGTGTTTATTATAACTGGTAATATTGTGTCTGTGTAGGCCTTTATTCATGGTTCGAAAACTAGGGGTAGGACCTCAGGATTTTATGGAAATGCAATTTGCTCCGGGTAAACAGAACAATTTACTGTATAAAGTAACAAAACGTTTAAAATGTAAATTAAAAAAATTGTTTATTGCGAGCAAATTCCTTGCTCTATATTGATGAATGAAGATCGAGCATCAATCTCTCTTTTGAAAATTTATATTTTGTAAACAGTATTGTGGATGCAGCATTGGGTGATTTTGGTGAATTATTGTAAATGCTTTTATTTGAGACAAGCCTAAATTGTTATAATACTATGTAGTACATTTTTAATTTCTATAACACCACTGTCATATGGTAGTCTCAAATGTATATGCTTTCCTTGGTGAAACTACAATAGGGTCTTAAAAAATCAGGGGAGACTTGATTCATTGTCTAATTCTGTCAAATATCAAAAAAATATCCAAAAACAAAAAAAATGAAGAATAATTGATTATATTCTAGTGTTGACTTTGGTTGAAAAATTTAGTCTTTTACTTGTCATTCAAAAGTTGTGTTCATTTCTTTTGAATAGTTATAAACTAGTAGCATACTTCTTTTGATGGATTGTTTTGTGCCTTTTGTTATATTAGATGTATTGACCCCATTAGAGACTTCCAGGTTTGTCACCTACATGTGTACACTGCTAAATATTTCAAATTGTTTACATTCACTTCTGTAAGGTGTTTTATATGGACACACCCTATGGTGACCTTTAACGCTACAATGGTGGTCATTCAACTCCATCACTTACTCATTCAACCAATCACAACACGTGATCAAAGTATTTTTCCATTAAATTAAGCCTGGTAGTTGTTCATGGTTAGTATATACACACATTTCATTGACTTCACTAATAATAATAATAATTATTATTAATAATAATAATAATAATAATAATAATAATAATAATAATAATGCCTTTATTGAAATCATATCCTATTCAGGATCTGGATTTTTAAAATACAATAAAATTTCAGATACATACAAAATGGCGAGACAAAATACTATTGAAGACAAAATGAAAACATAATAAAATAAAAATTAAAAACAGGGAGAGTCATCAAAAGCATGGGGGGGGGGCGTCTGTATTCCTACTTCTCGGTTTTAAGCAAGAGTCTGTTTCTCAACGAATTGGTGTTATATATCATTCATAGATTTACAAATCCCTTGTGCAGGCATTTTTTGAGCTGTCAGTTGTCAGCTGGATGTATTTTTTGCTGTGGTACCCTTTGTTTCACTAATGGTCTGCTGTTAAATCCATGTAATAATATTTCTCAAATTATTTCTGTTTAAATATATATAGAAAATTCACTGATTTGGTGGCATGGATATTTTGGTAAAATTTAATAGATTTTAAAATTTTTGTGCTGCTTGGTATGTTAATTAGTATATCTTATGATTTGGTTGATTTAGTAAATTTTAAATAATACTGACTTGTAAAGTTTACAATACACAGACTATGAAAGAAAGTTTTCTTTAAATAACCTGTCTACCCTCCAAAATAATGGTTCTTTCCTAAAACTTTTTTTTCCATTTACAGAAGAGTAAAGAAATAACAAACATTGATGAAGACAATATTCAGGATTTGAAAGAAAAAGAAATTTCAAAGGACAGTGCAGTTATTGAGGAGACCGCAAGGAGACCCTCATCCTTGAGTTTACTACAGAGTACAATAGCAGCCCTTGAATTTGACAATCCTCAAGAGAATACGTACAGTACAGTAGATAAAGATAAAGAAGAGTTCATTGCTGAATTGAGACGATATTGTGATGCTGGTGATATTGAGAGCAATACAACTGAGTGTTTGAAGTTAACAAGTTCAAAGCTGGGCCCACAAAAGGTTGGTGAAAAAAGCACGAAGGTCGAAGAAAGCAGTGTTTTTTCCACAAAAGAACACAAGGACCAGGTTGTGCCTGTAGCAGAGGAGGTTATACAACCAAAGACTGAGTCTGTCAGTACAGAGTCTGCAATAGATCTACCACAATTTACAAAACAGAATTGCATTGTGACATCACCAGATGAGATTTTCCATCTTGAGAAATCGTGGGAATCTCATCGCAGCAGTGGATCTCGGATCAGTTCCAGTGATTTTTCTTTTGACGATTCAGAATTCTTCGATGCTAGTTGTAGCGGCAGTTTTAGCAGCACGCACAGCTCCACCTGGAGTGAGTTCAGTCCTAAGAGCTCGCTAGAGCTTTTCGATGCTTACAAACGACGTAGTTTAGCATTGGATTGTAATTTTTCTAAAACATTTGGAAATACAAGACAGCCAAGTAATTCATTCAGTGGTGATATTGAACTCGAGAAGAAAAAAGATTACACTTTATCTCAGGCTAAAAGAATTAAAGAAAACAATCGCAAGACAATAATTCCTTCATCTAATGAATTGTCTTTTATAACAATACAACTTAAAGATAAAACACATTTACAGAAGTCTAGTAACAAAAAGAAGATCAGAATGAATAGAAAACTTTCACTAAGTAGCAATATTTGGCAAGCATTGGCAGACCAATTGTCGGAGGATTCAGCATTTTTTGAATCTCCGCTGGCATCATCAGATATCCTTAAATGGGATCAGAGAGGATGGTTGGTCTGCCAATCAGAGGGCAGGAAATACTGGTGCATTGTGGCGGATATTCTTCTCTGTCTTTTTGATTCACCTGAAAGTTGTAAAGCTGAAAAAGTTCTTGTATTGCCAGGTTATGAAGTAAAACCATTGATAGTTCATCTTTCTGAATCTCAAACCACTGCAGTGTCAGGAATGGGGAAATACCAGTTCAAGATGACCCATCAGAATGCTAAAGGGGCGGAGTTTGTTTTCAGTGTTGAGAATGAACAAGAGTTGTCCCACTGGATCAGAGTGATACGACTTGCTTCAACGTTGGACTGCGACTTCTCAAGCGACATGGATGATGACGACTCTTCATCCTCTGATGATACTGGTTACCTGGGTAACCTTAGCTGCTATAGCAACAATAACAATGACTTGGAATTACCTGCTGCCAAGTACCAACTGCCATGTTTATCTCCTGATATAACAGGTGGGATTGCAAATAGCACTCCTGGTAAAACATTTTTTGATCTCACAAACGATGAACAAAAGTCTGACCAGAAAACTTTTAATACTGAAAAAAGTAGAATGATTTTTGATAGTTCGTTGACGTCAGTGTCGTCACAGCCGATGTCATGCAATAGTCTTGGCCATAGAACTGCAATGAGAAACAGTGTGGGTTCTTATGATAGGAGTGTTAGTGTTGAGGATTCACAATGCTCGTTGGTGGATGGGCTTCTAGACAAGGGAAAACATGACAGAGCATCCACTGAACCATCAAGAAGCCTTGGAATGAAACTTGCCCAACGAGCACTTAAAGTCAAAGATCGAGTGAGTAGTTTGCGTGTTAACAAACAACACAGGCTAGCAAGTAATGATACAACCACGGTCAAATCACTTTCAGATATTCGAATATCCGGTGAACTTCAAAGAAAAACTAAGAATACTTGGGTCAACTGCTGGTGTGTGGTTAGCCAGAGGAATCTGTACGTCTTCAAAACACATCAACCGGAAGAATTAGTTGAAAGCATTGTCCCGCTGCTTGGATGCAAAGTTTCCAAATCGCAGAAAGAGAAAGTGCCGAATATGTTTAAAATTTCTCACCCACATTATAAAAGCCTGTATTTGCAGGCTTTCAAGTTTTCTGAAATGTTGCAATGGATTGACGTATTGACTAAAGCGACTATACCCATGCGTGCAAGCTATTCTGATTCAAAGTTGAAAACTACTAGTACTTTAAAACCGACAATACCATTGAGTAAATCTGCTTCGTTTAATATGCTGCATGACAAATTTGGCGCAGGGCCTATCAAGAAATCCAATGGAGTCGCAAACGGTAAAATTACCATAGAGTCTCCAGTAGCAAGAAAAACTAACATGGAAACTCTCAAAATGTCTAAAGCTAGTTTTCTAGAGGGATATGAAAATGGAAAATCTAACGTGGATTCTCATGATCTGGATGACATTATAGATGAACTTGCTTCAATTGAGGTAAGATATTTTCAACTGCAGAGATTGTTTTTTTACGTTTGTGGCTCTGGTGTACATAGAAAAGCCTGCAAGATGTGTGTTACCTGATAAAATGGTTTTTAACTGTTGTTATTCAATTATCAGTCATGGGTGTGGTTTTCATCTAGTGATTTTGATTTTAAATTTTTCTAATAAAAAAATTTTTAATGTAGCAAATAATAATAATTGAATGAAATATGAATTTTGTGAACATGGTTGTAATTTTAAAATTCATTTAATAAATTGTTGTTGATACTAGATTTACTTGCAATTACTGTACACTACAAATTCATTCAGAAACAATTTACCTGGTCACATGACCAGTGATTTGAGTATATCAAATTTGATTCCATATATTATGCTTGTAGCAGTACATTTCTTTAACAATTCAATTTTCGATTACATAAAAGATGACAGATTTGCAGCCATCTTTCTTTTTGTCCGTATTATTTATCTTATTAAGCATGATTAACATTTCCCAAAATTTCAATGGGACTTGTTATAATAAGACTGTATAATTTACTGTCTTATTTTCCAAAGTATTTTGTAAGCTGACCTGAAGGGAAAATTATAAATTGTAATTTGTTTTCTATCATATTTCAGGATCATGATGATGTGTTTGTTTCATCTTCTGCATGTCACTCTGAAGATGATAGCAGTCAGTCAGATTTGGTAAGAAAATTGTCCAGTATACATTGTATGTACAGGGATAATGGTTAAAAGCATGTGTGTATGCCCCGCTTTATTGATCTTGTAGGTTTGAGTGCCCACTCAGAAATAAAAACAAATAGACTCCTCGCTGGGTCAGATTTATTTAATATTCAGTTCTTTTTTTTATGTAAAAAAAATTAATAATTTCTTCAGTTAGGTTAACTAATTTTTGAAGTTCCAAAATCCTCCACTCTCTAAGTTTTCAAATGAGGGAACCCCTTCAGATAACAGTGTCCTGTTGGATGGGGTTTGTAATGCTGTCTGTCGTTCATTGGCGCAAAATACCACTGACTTGTAGTTTGAAAAATAAATACCTTGATATCTATTGCAATATGTCTGTAATGAGTTTTCCTAAAATAATGCCTCTGAATGCAATGAAAAAGTTTTCATAAAATAAACATGCATGACTTTTTTGCATTTTTTCAAATTCTATTTTAAACCTAAAGCCAATTTGGAATTAGGCCCATTTAGAGCAACATTAACAGAACGAAAAGAGTGCCAACCATATTGCGTTGTTCGCCATACACTGTCAAATTTATGTGAGTTTTTCTTGTAAAAACGCGAACCAAACAGCCCTTTTCAGGGCCACCACACACTCCAAAAAGAGAACTGCCATACCAATCATGATTATTTTAATAAACAACTTCTTTAATTTTTAAGATTTAACCTATTGTCGAAGCTCGACAAAAACCCCCTGGGCTTATACTCGAGGAAGCCCTCAACTCGTTAAATGTCTAAAAATAAGGGGTGGGCTCATACTTGGGGGGAAGTGCAGTAATATGCAAAATTTTGCAAAAGATAATGTAAATAAAATGATCTTTAAGATCATTGTCTGTTTACTGCAAATTGAATGTGAAAACAGGACAAGCAAGGGTCACAGCGCCATAATGGCATCAAAATATCACATGGATTCATTCATCAAACAGGAATATATTTGCAGGCTATACACAATTGATGATTGTCAATTCAGATGAAGTACAGGTATCCCAACATATTCCTCTCTGAAAAATCATCTTTTTAAGATTAAGCTATAAAAAATTAAATTAAATTCAAAAAAAAAAATCATTAAATTTTTGGAGCAGGCAATCAGCACCTTTCATATGTTATATAATTTTTTTTTTTTATACGACAGGAGTTTTCTACTCCGAGGCCACTTCGAAAAAAGAGCATTCATGGGTCATTAGGAGATATCCCTGGTACAGCATTACAGAATAATGGTAAGAAAAACAACAAGAATGTCAAAAGTAGTAAGAAAAAACTACGTGCCAAGACAGTTATTCAGATGCCAGCAGCAGACTGGACCAACCCTACTAAGGCTGGATATTTAAACCGAAAAAATAAGGGTCCATGGGTGAGGTAAGGCATAGATTGTGATTGGTTGACTTATCCTGTAATGACATCATCACAAAGCATCATGTTATTAATGTTTAATGAGGCGATTCAATCTAATCAGCCGAAAATGAGTACAACAAATTTTTATTAAAAAAATATTCAGTGAAATGTGAAAATAGCTGACTTTTTTTTTTTTTAAAGTTTGACAGAAATGATTCATGTGCTGCTCTTGTTGTTGTCTAATTGTGATTTGTTTTACACATGGTATATATTAATGCCATATTGTATAAAATACAATTACTGCACCAAATGTATGCATGACTTCCCTTTATTGTAATATATTCCACAGAATATTAGATTCTGCCATAAATAATAAGTTTTTGTATTTTGTCTTATCAACATGTACTTATTGCACTTTTTTTTTTTTTTACCAGATGTTGGATAGTTTTGAACAATGATACATTGTATACGTATAAATCACCTGAAGACACTCATACCTTGGATACCATCATGTTGCCAGGATACAGGATCACCACTGATGTCAGAACTGCATTCAAGTCAAGAAAACAAATGTTCAAGTTATCACATGAGGTGAGTTACTCACTAGCATGTGTTTTGCTAATTCTAACATAGCTAATTCTAGTATTGAAAATTCTAGCATGATAATTCTCATAGTTCTAATTTTAGTACCGGGTAATGCTAATTCTTGTATTCCTTGAACTGTATGAATTTTTAAAATTCTAAACTTTTGCAGTTTTAATCCAACTTGATTAAACAAATTCAGTTCAATTCACCACCAGTTCCCTTTTTTCATCACAAATTCACAAAATAGTCCCGTTTATAGTCTGCACTTTCCTTCAGAAGAATGGGACAAAAATAGCCAAATTGTTTGAGTAAAAACTGAAAATTGACTCAAATTTTGTCTGTTGGCTCCAAAACTTGGGTTCATTTCCAGAAATATTGAAGAATGTAAGAGAGAAGTGCAGAAAAATTTTGGAGAGAAAATCTGGTGGTGAAAAAGTTAATATAAATGAGTTGAAGTCATAATTTCATGTAACTTCATATCAAATTGACATCTTGATATTCATCGTTGTGCTTAGCTTGGTGCTGAAATACAATTATTTATAGTATTTACTAGTGTGTTTTTATTTGAAACTTGTCAAGCAATATTCTTTTATACAGACTGAGAACTAGCTACATTAAGTCTTTGAGCTGCTGAAAACTTCTCAACCGATTTAGTCCAAAGCCTAGATACCCAATATTATCGGGTTTATTTTGTACTTGTTCTAAGGTGTCACACTTATATTATTTCATCTTTAAATACATTAATATTCCCTAGTTGACATGCAAACAACATATACAGCTTGCATGTGAATATGTTTTATCTTCATGATAGTATACCATTCGCCCTCACTGTTTTATCAAACTTTCCAGCATAATAACTAATGAAGACATTGACGTCATTATATGCTTAACACAATAAAGTTTACTGGCCTTTCTGTCATTGACTTGGAAAGGAGAAAAACATGACCAAGTCAAAGAATACAGAATCAATATTATTGAACAAATGTTTATCAGCATGTTAATGACATTTTATCAGTTGTCAGGGGATTTTAAAGTCCATTCTTGTGTTGTTGAGATATTTGTGTTTCTGTGTTCCAATACCTATAAATTATGTTATATCAATTAAACAATGATTGCTCACAAAGTCACCCACTTTGGTACCAGTTTGTATCATGGTATTGCTGTAACTTCATCAGCATTCATAGGTGAAAGCGTCATATTTCTGCACCATGTTGTGGATAACGTTAATGTGATAAACTTGTCAGTACATGCTGTCATGACCATATTGGTCTGTTAATAAACACCCATGATATCTAGGACATATTACTATATCTAGGCTATAACAGGATAACATTCATGTTTTGAAAACCCTGTACCCTGGATTCACAAAATGTGTGGGGGAACCTAATTTTAATACAGGGCATGCAGTTTGAAGAGATTGATCCATACCCATGTCTAGCACTCCTAAAAATCAACACCCACGATAGAAAATTATCACTTCCAGTCTGTACCATTTTGAAGATATTTTAATGGCACAACTCCCTAACCACTCGCACTACTGTGTTCAGTTTTAGCTCCCACACCATTTTCTAAGACTATGCCTTAAATCTCAGTACCTCGACTACAGCGCAGTAACCACGTGACTTTCAAACTTACGGGGTCTACACGTTTTGTGTTCCACGGTACAAACCATGCATAGTAAACAATGTTTTGCACTGAATGGCAATATATAATGCAATGAACCATCATATCAGCCATTATTGAAGTAGACTCTTGTCTGTCATTCTGTTGCAAAAACATTTTTCACAGTTATACTACAAACTGAACGGGACTATATCATTGACAATTGACTTGACTTGTTAACATTTTTCTTTGTCAAAATAACATTTACTGTGCTAAACTTATTTTTGTTGACAGGGCAATTATCTAAGTACCTACACTTGTATTAAAGTAGTAAAGTAAATTCCATAAAAAGTTTGATTTCATGTTATCATTTTCTTTTGCAGGGTGCAAGATCAACTTACTTTTCATCTGAGTGCGAGTCTGAGATGATGGCATGGGTGAGCATCTTGAGAAAAGCAACTCAGAAAATATCGGTGGAAGGACTTAACCTAGAAAAAGGAAGCAGTGTTCACTTTGAGAAAACTCAAGGTAATGTACAATCTATATTTATGAGTTTTCTCCATATAAGAGGTCACATGACTATATGCAAATATCATCTGTTGACTGTGTGCATGACTCAAAACAATGGATATCACAGCACCAAACAGTTATATGTTACTGCTTGTCTTCAGCTCAGCCACCAAACATCCTCTTTAAGAGTAGCCATGATTTTATGATTATGCACAGAGACTGTGAAACTCATCCACATCATGCGGCATTACCAGACATATTGTCTGTTCTCCAAAAAAATAATATATGTGGAATACTTTATTTTCGCTGGAATTAATTTTCTGAAAAGGCTTTTTGGCCGTTTTGCTTGGAATTTATTTTCACTGATTTTTGATGAGTTTAACGTAAAATACATGTATAGGAAAAAAAGTATATTCGCTGAATTTTATTTTCACGGAATCATGTCTTCAGCGCAAATAGCGAAAATAAATTCCAAGCGAAAATAAAGTATTCTACAGTATATCAATTCTAAAATGTTGTTTATTTGTAGCAGAGGAAAGGGAAGCTTTAAAAGAAGAAAAACAACAAGAATTTCAACAACATCTTGCACAACTTCAAAAACAGAATCTATTGGAGGAAGTCTTGCATAATAAAAAAGAACTGAAACAAAAAGATGCAAAACCAAAGGTAATTGAAAATAGGGTTGTTTTAGTATAATCTTTTGGCAATGATTTTGGTGAGAAAATTAACATCAGGAACATAGCATCAGGAAAGATTGAAATGTTTGAAAAATGACGCCTAATTTAGAGTAGTTCACCTGTGTGTTCTGCTCGATTTCATTCAAATTTTACACATGCATCATATCATACATATGCACATGTATTTGAGTAAAGATGACTGAATGGTGGCCATTTATAGTGTAAAAATTGTTCAAAATCAAGCATTTCTGCTATTCCAGAACTGGATCTTGGTCGTGCATGGACATTTATTTCACACCTGATTCCGATTCTGATTCAAGATGGCTGATCATCATTTTAGTGCTAGAAATGCATTATGAATGTCATGGGTAGAATAAAGGAAGGAATCACAAATAAACTGACTGTGAAAAAAAAATGGACGAGGACTTGTCCATTTTTGTGCTGAAAAATCATCAAAATCAAGCATTTCTGGTATTCCGGAACCAGATCTCAGCTGTTTACCAATGGATTTTGTTCAAACTTGGTACATACATTGGACATTATGGGACCGTGATGCACATCATTTTATTTTTCAGATCAGATTTAAAATGGCCGACTGGTGGCCATTTTGTTTTAATTAATGCTGTTCCAAAGCAATATCTCTCATTATGGACAAGTACTTGTTTGATGATCATACATGTATACAAGATGACTTAATGTCAACCATTTTAATGTTCAAAAATCATCATAATCAAACATCAGCTTCTGGATCTATATCTCTGACATGTTTATGTTCCAGCTATATTACTATAAACAAAACTATATATCTTAATTTGATAACTAACAGAGACTGTGCCATGCATGGGCTGTTTTATGTTATTCAATTCTTAAACTGAATATATATATATTTTAATTGACAGACCCCTGCAACAAAGGAAGAGATTCAAGCAAAATATCAGAAGTCAATCGAGGAAGAGGAGTTAAAGACACTGAAATACCAAACGATCCTCAATAAACGCAGAATGTCGGCACAATTAAAAACTGATGATTTGACAAAGAGGATGACTGAGGCTAAAAAGAAGAAGGGTGTGTCTGAAACAGAATATGCTGCTATGGAACGAAGGCTTGAGGAGTTGAATGAAACATTGAAAAAGGTTGAGGGCAATATTACTAGAAACAAAAATATGAAAGAAAAAGTTGTGGAAAGTTTGAAAGATAAAAAGGAACTGGAATTGAAAATTGTTGCCCAGCAACAGAGAATGAAACTGCATCGAAAAGCAGCAGCTGAGAAAGCTCTTTTGACAATCTCAGAAACAGTTGGGCAGATTTCGCCGAAAGCATCGGAGCAGATCGCACGAAGGCAACTCCCGGATACTACTGCTGCGAGCAATGGTAAGCGTAAAGCTAGGGCTTTACCAGTAATACCTGTTAACTTATCCCCTTCAGTTTCGATACGCAGTGGACTGACAGATTGCGGAGGTGACAACTCATCAGAATATTATGACAAACTGTCGCTTAGCAGTTCCATTTCTACACATTCATTTGTCAGTGAGCGCACAACTTCATCCGGTGAGACTTCTCACACTTTGGCCCCTTCAGATGATAGAAGTCTGAGTTCATTGGAGAGACAAAGTGCTTTTGAAGATGACCATTGCAGTGATAGGATTGAAGTCCCACGGGTTGTCGTGGTATCAGCCTCTGATGATGGGGAAGATATCCACTCAAATAATGGAGATTTGTTGAATACAGAATGCAGTAAAAGTCCCAGAATAACACCAGTTATAACTGAAGTTAGTGCTGATACAATTGCTGAGATTGAAGTAAGTAAATCATGTGACCTTCAAAAAACATTCCGATTGGCCACTGCTTTCAGTTTCCAGAAGCTATTGAGTGAGTTTCGTTGCTCACATTCAAAGGGTTAAACATGTCAAACTGAAAAAAAAAAGGATTATGTGTGAGCGACCACTAGAGGGTGCACCAATATAATGATGTTTGCAGGAAATACAAATAAATTCAATTTCTGTTGGATACAAAAACTTAAATCTAGTGGAATAATGAATTTTAACTTACAGTCCATATTAATTTTTTTTGTTTTTCAGGCTTTTGAAAAACTTGCTATGGATATGTTAAAACGAGATATTTATTAAAAAAGGAAGTGAAATAAATTCATTTTAGTGAATATTAAGGCTGATTCATGCATTTACGTGTCCAGTGGAATATGGTCGTAGGAATGAAAAGTCATGTGACTAGTGATTAACCAATCAAGAATGGTGTATTGTACTACAGCTTCTGATTGCTGGTAAACCAATCAGAGCGAAGAATGTGATAATCCACCAATCAACAATCAAGGAAAGAAGTTGTAATTTACAAGATTTCAAGAAGCTGAGAAATATGATTGTCTTCTGAGCCATGATCATAATATTGACATAATCATAATTTTTTATCGGATGAGTGTTACTTTATTTTAAAAAAAAGACACATTTTGGCTACACCTGCTGCTAGTTATTTTAAATGTTTTAAATCATTTTTACAAGATTCAGTTTTAGTTAAAGGGTAGTGATCGTCGTGCCGCGTCCTGTTCGATATGGGACTCATAGCGACGTATACAACGCGTGTAAAATACATTGTTTGGTTGCATGAAATTTGAACACGCCCTACACGACGACTACCACGCTTTAATTTAGTTTATTCGAGCATCTGCTTTCTATTTACACTTACTTTTCAAACAGTTTGCTCTCAAGAGCATTTGGATTGTAACCAAACTTGATTATGAACTATTTTGTACTGCAGTACATGATTATTGAAATACAAGATTGCATAAGTTCAACAAAATGGTAGATTAAATCATGGCACAATCTGCAACAACTTTTTTTATCTTGAATAAACCGCAGAGTTTATAAATTAAATTTTATTTAGGATATACTGTTTGAGTATGACAACTGTCATTTTTTTTTCTGGTTCTTTATAAATATGGTGAATACTATTACCATAGCAGGCGATCTATCCCAGTCAGGTTTCACTGATGAACATACATTCACCTGCTAAAATAGTTGTTACTTTTTAAAAGACAGTATGTTTGTATGTGAAAATATATCAGGATACATTTTACAGGTAACTTTTTTTCTGGTGATGCCAGAATGATCTTTAATTTAGTAGAATATATATATCAGTAATTTTGTTATTTTAAATGAGCTCCTGGAATGGAACCAAAACAAAATACCATGAGAAGGGTAACAAATCACCTATAAAAAGTTTGTAGCTACATAAATACTATCGGTACTCATACAATAAACTTTTTATTTTTCTTCCTCCACATGTTTTTCTCTCATCAAATTTGACTCTGAGCAACTTTACTATTTTCTCCAGAAAAGTTAAATATAATTTGTTTTCAATGTATGACATTACATTTAAAGTTGTGCAGATGTTGACATTTAACTGCACAACTTGGTAAGAACACTGAGCAAGTTTCACGCAATTGAGGCTTAAGAGGAATTTCCACCCTGCAATAGTTAGAAATCTAGTAAAGTTTTTTCAAAAAAGAATGATAAACTTAAATTATCACCTGTTGGTAAAATGGAACCTTTTTCAATACTACTGTAAAATAGTTCCAATTTCGCTGAATAAGAATAAACTTATAATACAACCATGATTGAGGGCGGTATAATGACCTGCAGATACTAAAACTTATAGAGGGCAGTATAACGCTAATTTGCAAAGCAGAATTTTTTATAACTTTCTATGGTAAAAATTTAGTATAATTTTCACCGACACATTGACATGTAATATTGATATAGATTCAATAAAATTTTATTTGTTTAATAAATATTTGTAAATGTGCATCTTGGTATTATATCTGATGTTTTAGATAGCATGTTGAGGATCTGATGGTATTAATAGTTACATTAATGTCTGTCATTTAAGTACATAAATACAATTTGTATCTTTTTGGTTTCCACAGTGTCATCATTCAACTGTCCAATGGGATTATATGCAATTGTACTTTTTCCCATAATGCACTGAGCCAAATACAGGTCATTATTACATTATTCACATACTATGAAAGTGCATTATATAGCAAATTTATCAAAATACTGCCAGGTAAATATACAATTCTTGTATGTTCCTAATCTTGTATTCATTCACTAAAAAATTTGTTTTACCCTACCACACAGATTAAAATACTCTTTTCATCACCAGTTCCCTCTTTCATCACAAAATAGTCCCATTTTATAGTGTGCTCTTTCCTTAAAAAAAATTAGACAAAAATAGCTAATTTTGTAAAAACAAACTGAGTAAAAACTGAAAATTTCCAAAAATTTATGTATATAAAAAAAAATGCAGAAAAATTTGGGCAAAAAAGTCTGGTGGTGAAAAAAGATTCAGAAATGAACCTTAAAATTATATCAAGGCACTTCTCAGCTTTTCAATAATTTTTATTGAATTTTTTCAGCATAATATACATTTTCTGGTTATTATTATATTACATAATTACTACTTTCATAATGTGGATATTTTCATAAATACTTGTTAGAATGATCCACAAACACTGGTCAAAGGAGAGATGCTGGCTGACCTTTTGAGTACATCACTTATACATATTCTAATTACCAATACCGAATTATGGTCTGCAATAGGTACAATAGAATTAAAACAAGCAGCCTATCGGCTGAGATAGCTCCGCTGTTAGCAATGCACATTTCAATTAAAGAACTGAAGACGTCATTAGAAAATTAACAATATGTATAGTATCAAAGCAATCGAACTTACAGTTTTTAACAAGAAGTCGAAAATATCACTTTCTACCAAAAATGACAAAAATATTCACCAAAATTAGAGAATTGAAGATATCATCACGAAATGAACAAATCTGAGAAAGGTCCACATGTAGTATCTATATATGTAATATCAAAGCAATTGAACTATTGGTTTTTAACAAGAAGTCGTAAATATCACTTTTTACCAAAAATGACAAAAAAATTCACCAAAATTAGAGAATTAAAGATATCATTACAAAATGAACAAATTTGAGAGAGGTCCACATGTAGTATCTATATATGTAATATCAAAGCAATTGAACTATTGGTTTTTAACAAAAAGTCGTAAATATCACTTTTTACCAAAAATGACAAAAAAATTCACCAAAATTAGAGAATTAAAGATATCATTACAAAATGAACAAATTTGAGAGAGGTCCACATGTAGTATCTATATATGTAATATCAAAGCAATTGAACTATTGG